TGTTTTTATTCCTGCCAAGTTCTCAACTGCTTCAAACAGCTCCCCGGGTCCAATTAAGAGAGCCCCACATCCCTCTGACTCATCTCTCTTCCCAGCAGTGCCTTCAAATGTAGACAGATTTAGTTCAAGCCACACTCAGAAATGCAACCAGTTTATTGGTTCAGGGCAGGAGGAACTCAGAAATCAAGGCCACTCTAAGAGAGTCACGTCTCCTCAGTAAGGGACCACTATGTCTTCCTCAAGTGCTAACTGTTCTTCCACAGACCATCTCCGAGAAGGCTTCTGCGTCCACCATCACTGCTCTGAGCTTACACCCTTCTTACATGCACATTTTTCAACCAGTGCATTAAAGCTGGGATTTTCTGGGTGACATCGACCACAGTGCAACGGATAACCGCATAGAGACCTCCAATTCAAGGAGCAGTAGGTTCTCTGGGCCCTTGAAAGCAAGCACACGTGACCCTCTGGAAAAGATTCAGGGTCCACTCTGTAAGATATCAGAGGCCTTGGACGAGCAACAAGAGACAAACGCTGGAGAATGAAAAAAAACCTCTAGAAGTCTGAATTTGAGTGAAAGGACTTTAGAAGGATATCTGACAGTAACCGAGAGAGGAAATCAGCGGAAGGAAAAGCAAATGCTAGCAAAAGCTTGGAGAAACCTTACTCTGCTCCTCACACACATCACCAAAAAAATATTCTGCCATCCAAACAAGCAACTACTAAGTGAGTGAGACACCCTGAACACATTGGGGGTGCCCGGGGATTCCTCCCCGGCCAGGTGCAACACCGGGGGCTCGGTAAGCTGTACCAAGGCATGGACAGACACAGCAACTCGCCCTCAGAAAGGCTTTAATATCAAATGGTGTACGCACCTCTGATCGCCAAGGACAGCACGAGCACCGAAGTATCTCTTCAACTCGTTCTCTGGATTCAGGTTTCTGAGAAAGTTGAAAGAAGAAAGAAAAGCTACCATCAGTTAAACACAGCTAGAAGTCTGATGCTTGAGTCTTCTCCGTCAGCGGTCTGTACCTGCACCGTCTCTGGCCAAGCCCCTGAGCTGTCACACGCCTCCCTGGTCTGCCACAACACACCAAAAGGAGACCAAAGTCAACGGCAGCAACAGGAGGCATCGAAAGCCCTGTTCAATCCGATCCATGCTTCCTTTGTGCCCTGCTCCTGAACGGTGCTGAGCTGGGAATATTGCTGCTGCCCTCTCCAGGGCAGCTAGGCCTTAGTCCCTGCTACTCCTGGGCAGGCGCTGGTCAGGAGCGTGCCGCACGCTCGGGGTACGTGTGCCAGGAAAATGTGAGATACCTGCTGCCAAGCCTGGCAGTGGCAGCCTGCAATTTGGGGCAAGCACTACCATCACTGCATGCAAGCTGGCAAGGATTAAAATACATTTTTGTCATACAAAGACCTTGTATCAAAGCATGACAACACCCACAGTTTTCTTGATCTAACGTGGTGTATTTCAGAGGGGTTCTCTCTGCCACCCCGTGAGTAAGGCTTGAAGAGAGGGAGTGGGCAGCTCTCAGAGGTTTCCAAGTAACGTTCACCTGACCAGAGATGTCACTGAGGTTTAAAGCCACCTCTAGATAAACAAGCCCTCCTGTCGTTACCGAAAGGTCCCTCGCAGACTGCGCTAGCACCCAGTGCCCACCAGTCTAGACTTGGTTTTGATGCAGCGTGACTAGAGGTTTCAAAACCCAGACTGGTAAGTTGTCCCAGCTACAAGCTTAAATGTTCCCTCCAGAAACAGAAAGAGCTGCCAGCATCTGCACTGACCCTGGGCTCCGGAACAGGCCGGACACAGCAGCCAGACCATTTCCCAACATTTCCAACTGTGATACAGGCCCAGGGTTTCTAGTTTGAGGCCGCTCCAGCTCTTGGACGCGCGTGGCGCTTAGTCCACTTAGTTGATGGTGACGTACGGGAAAGTTTAGACAAGTCTAACCAGCCTCCCAGTGACATTAGCTCCGGGCACTGCTCAGCCCTTGTCCTCCTCGGACAGCACACGCTGTGCTGGGGCCTGCTGTTCACAACGCCCGGCCTGAACGCAGCCAGGGGTGTTTGTGCGCAAAGCTTTATGCACCGGGGCTCTCTGCGGCTCTGCAGAGATTCTCCTACAGTCATGGGATGGTTTAGGTTGGAAGGCACCTCTGGAACATAACTGGGTCCAGTCAGGCTTGACAGCAGAGAATACCAGTCACGGCTCAAAACGGAATGCAGCTCCAAAAGCAGTGGTTAGAAACAGGGCTGTGGACAGCCATTACCACAACCCCTGTCAAGCAAGGTCCTGAATACACTGGGAGGCTCCCAACTCCCTTCCTTGGGGGAACAGATATCCCTGTCACAGCCAAGGCCAAAATCAGGATGGAAGCAAGCACTACCTGTGCTCTACGTAGAGCAGAGGCCTGCTGTCAGCAATTATCCCGCTCTGGGTCTGCTGTGATAGTCCATTGGTATCCTCGATCTTCTCCAGCAGGCTGTCAATGTCCTCCAGGTCGTTGTCTTCCTTAAGGTAGGCACATGCAAAGACAAGGCAGTTATTACAGACTGAGTCACCGTGACACGCAGGTCACCCAGTAGAGATCACACCCATCACATCACAGCTGCCTCCTGGCCCTTTGGCTGTACTGGTGCCAACCCTACCACTCACCCCGCTGCGACCTCACCTCATACTCTCTCATACCGAGGCCTTCTGCTCTTCCCCTAGCACTCTTTATTCCCTCAGGAATTCCACCTAGAGCCTGCCTTTCCTGTCCAACTGCCTCCCAAAGGGTTCTCTGCTTGCTCAAGGCATCATAGGGCTGTTGCTCTTCACACCATCACGAGTCAGAACCTGCCAGCACGGGCAAGAGCTGGCAGGCTGCGGGGTCTCTGGTCTGCCCCCTCTCACCCAGCCTTCGTTGTGCTTTGTCTGGCTTATGCTGGGGTGGTGATTTTAATCACAAATGTTTAAATAATCAGCCTTTACCCTCTACTTTCCATGGAAACACTCAGTTACTGCTGTGACCCTTGCAGTAAGATATCAAACACTTATGATTTTAACCCAGCCCTACTGCATTCACTTTCCCATCTTTTAACCACCCAAAGAATACATCCAGCAGTGCACGTTCAACAGTTGTGTAACACTTTTATCCCCATTTGCCTCTACTTTTTCCAAAAAATAGCAAGTGAAAGGGCTGCAGAAGTGTGTCACATCCTCCTCATGATGTACGTGGGTGGAACACGGAATTCCATTCATGGCACCACACAGCACTAAGAGCTTGCCTTTTCCAGCTAAATATAGACACTCCACGTGGAGTGGATACATGGAAAGTTTATAATGTGCTTTGCATTTAAACGCTCGAACAGAGGTGGTATTATCTCAAGCTAGCAAATCAAACAGCAGTAAGTCTCCCCAGAGCCTACAGCTGGCAGATATCACTCCATTGCTCCTTATTCTTGGATTGAGAGAGGAAACAGGCTCTTTAGACACGTTCTCTGCCTTAGTAACTGTCCCTGAGCTCACCCAGCTGAATACCCAGGGAGGAGGGTGCCAGCCAGGCACCCACACTGCAGGCAGGGGTCAGCACTTCAGCATACTGTGGCTCAGGACGTTTTGCCAAGGACCTCCCCTGAATGAACAGTTAAAGACTCTTAAACCTTAGCAGAAAACTACCTCCCACTTGAATGTTATTTCTGCTGAATTTAAAAGACCAATGACTCATCCATTTAGTCTCCCGACCTAACTCGAGTAGATAAAGTATAATCAAGCAAATCCATCTCTTAAAGTTTTATCCACCACAAACACAGATACAGTTCTGTGTGCAGCTCTGGAGCCCTCAACCTAAGAAGGATATTAACCTGTTGGAGCGAGTCCAGAGGAGGCCACAAAGATGCTCCGAGGGCTGGAGACCCTTTACTATGGGGACAGGCTGAGAGTTGGGCTTGTTCCGCCTGGGGAAGAGAAAGTTCTGGGGAGACCTTATAGCACCTTCCAGTGCCTGGGGGGGCTACAAGAAAGCTGGGGGGGACTTCTTACAAGGGCAGGGAGTCATCACCCTTTGTCCTGTAACTACAAACTGGAAGAGGGTAGATTTAGATTGAACATCAGGAAGAAGTTCTTCCCGCAGAGGGTGGGTAAGCACTGGGACAGGTTGCCCAGAGAAGCTGTGGATGCCCCATCCCTGTAAGTGTCTAAGGTCAGGCTGGATGAGGCTTGGAGCAACCTGGTCTAGTGGAAGGTGTCCTTGCCCATGGCAGGGGTGGGACTGGATGGGCTTTAAGGTCCCTTCCAACCCAAACCGTTCTATGAAAGTTCTCGCTCCAAGCACACTTCTTTAAGGTAGACTGCTTACAACCCCATCCCCTTGCTCCCTTCATCACCGAGGGATGGAGCAGGTCCCACAGGAAGAGTGCTTGGCAGTGCCCTTGCTGATAACCCATGAGCAGATGCTCCTGCCAGCGTTCAGCTGTCAGATGTCAAACTACAGCGAAGGGCGTGAACGGCAGCGAGAGCTCTGGATGGCTCTGCAGTGCTAGGAAAGCTAAGTAGGGCAAAGAAAACATAATGGAAATGCGAAATCCCTCACACAGTTACCCCTTTCTGTGCAAAGCCTTGAAGCAGAGATAAAAGAAGATGCTGCTCTGAGGATTTCAGCTCTAAGCATCTGCAGCAGCGCTGTGCCAGTCCCGGCTGCCTGAAGGGCCACAGTCAAAAGCTGTTGTTGCCATGTCATGATTTTAAATGAGTACAACACAGAAAGGAGAATTTGTGCTTCAAAAATCTTTTCTGCAGCCACCTTAGAGTTGCCACTGTCAACCTCAATGCAGAAATCAGCACAGTCACTAACTCAAGCGTGAACACAGACATACCAGAGCCTCCCCTGCCAACGTTTTCTTGGTTTTCCTCTTCTTTTTTTTCTTTCTTGGTTTGTTACTCAACACAGGCTGCAAAGAGAAATGGAACAGCTGTCAGAGCATGCCCACGGTCCACAAGGATGAAAGCTCCACGAGGGAGAAGAGCATTTCCCACCGGGATCCGCATGCCAGGAGGGTCCTTAAATGAAACCAATATTCATCCTTTCAAGTTTGTCAGCAAGTGGGAATTAAGACACAGGGAGAAAACGGAGGAAAGCACCGAAGGTTTACAAATGTAAGGGTTAAATCTCAGCTCATTTTCATATCAAAGTCCAAGACTACAAAATCAGGCAAGAAGCTGTTTAGGTAGACCAGGTGTAAAAGAAACATTTCAGCCCTTCTTTACTCTCCAGACTAAACTTTCTTTCTTTCTAGCGAGCGTGACAGTTTCGTCACTCTGACTCCCACAGAAACCAACACCTGACCGAAAGCACCACGCGATACAGGCTCCTCTCGCTGGCGACGCAGCTACTTCAGCTCACGATGCTGCATGGCATTCCTTAACCCAACACTGCTGTCCACACTGGCTCTTCCCCAGGGCATACAGAGATAAAAAGCACATTTCCAGGACCCACACAGGTCATACAGCAAGTAACAGCGTTACCAGAACAACCTCACAGATCCTGAGGTGACCTGAGAACCAGGGGACTGTCCAGCTCTGATCTGGCTCTATCAAACGGCGGCGAGACGCCAGCCGAGGGCTCCCACATTTCTACCCAGGAAGGTGTGAGAGAAGGAGCAGGTGCACCCTGCAGCGCTTACCCAGAAAATGCACTGGGTCAAGGCCCACAGGAGGCACCGCTCATGCAGGGACCAAGCGAGCAGAGCCCACACTGCACATCCAGAGCATTCCCAAGCTCCTGAGCTGGCTGAGGCCACCAGCAGAGCTAGACTGCACACAGACAGTGGTCTGTGCTCCTCTGGCCACACTGCCTGGCACCCAAAACCCACGGGCACATGCCCCAAACACTGTGTCCGAACAGGTGAGGCCAGGGGGCCAATCCCCTTCGCTCCTCCCCACCCTCATCTCCAGTGAGACACAGGGCAGACTTGCAATGTCAAATTAACCACAGTGCCTTTTTCCTTATGTGCTTCTGCAAGGAGACGCTTTGGAGCTGATACAGAGCACAGAACGTTAACACAAACCGACAACAAAAGGAAGAAATTGTTCAGTGTTTAGTTTTCATTGCTTGAAGCCTTCCCTTCATCCACTCCAAGATAAATGCTTCACTGAGCATTTACCCACTAGCCCACCCCATGCACAGCTCAGAGCTCAATTAACCGTGCAGGGAAGGAAGCAGAGAAGCAATCTCCGTTTCAGACTCACAGGGTGTTTTCTCTCCCACACACTTTGCCTGACCTCAGCGCTCGTGAGGACATAGCACAAGGACTTCCTCCAGGAACCTCCACTCTGAAGCTGCAAAATATCCCCAGATCCCAGGCACAAACCCAACCCTCGGCACCAAACTGCTCGTTCTCCTCTAGATCTGGAGCTCTGAGCATTGGGGTTTAAGTTCCCCGTGTGCATCCCTCCCCTGAGGCTCACATCCTCAGCCTCTGACAAAACCCATGCGCAAGGGAAAAGAAACACATTTGCCTGGCAACCAAAAGCTTCTCAGTGCACACAGAGAGGGAGATAAGAAACCTCTCTGCACCTTGCACGGCAACTGCCACGACCACTAGATACCAGTGGTTTAGTTACCGTTTGGTCCAGCTGCTCTGCCTCCTCCCCATCTCTCTGCCCGTCGCCTTCAGTCTCCTCAGTTACTTCACCGTTCCCTCCTGCTGCATCCCGCTCGCTGAGCCGGGTATCCACTTGCTGCTCTCTGGACAGTGGCTCATCCTCCGACTCCTCATTGGTGATCTGCACAGACAGACAAGCTGCAGAGACAACTGGCTGGGGGCTGCACTCTGCCTTCTCCTGCACCTGAGGAACAGAACTCCCCAGGAATCTGATCTGTTCTACTGCAAAAGGAAAAGAAAAATGGTGCAGGAGCAGCACAGGGCTCAGGTACCCCAGCAGACAGGACAGGGACAACCCCTCATTTCAAGCATGTCACCCGGCAAGTGCCTTAACAGCCCTGAAGACACCAGCTCACCGGAGGGGAGCACAGGGCCACGATGACAGGTCCACTGCACAGCACGGCCAGCAAGAAAAGGTACGGCCCTATCTGGACTTGCCTCTTCCTTGGGAAGAGCCTCCAAAACTAGCCTTGCCTACACTCACACAGCCAAGTCTCTGGGGAGGAGAGGGAATGCTGAGACTGGGCAAGGTGCCCAGTGTAGGAAGGACCAGGCTCTGTCACCTCAAGGACCCATCTGCACCATCAGGGCCTCCCTGACCTTTGACCTCCAGCACTGAGATCTTGCAGGGCAGGGAAAGTGGCACAAACGTTCCTAACACTGATTTCACCCACTGTTTGACCACCCCACCCAGCCCTTCCCAGACCTCACTCCAATTCCTTCCCTGTTCAGGCCCAGCTGCTGGCCCTTCAGGCCCTCTCACCACCCCAAAGCCCTCAGCCCCACCCTGGTCACCGACCCCAAATTAATTCCTCCCACAGACTGTCACCTTGGTCACTCCCCCCACCGGGTCACTGTCACCCCTCTGGAGTGTCCCCCCTCAAGTCACTGCCCCACGAGTCACCCCCTCAGTGACCCTTTAACCAC